GCAGCACTTACTAGAGTCTCGCAGAACTGTGAACAGTTTATCAAGTTTGAATGCAATAATGACATAGCTTTTATTGAGGATTCATATGCCTGGTGGGTGTCACGTGACGGAACACGCATGTATTACTGGGGTGGAGCTACAGGATATAACAACACGTGCGCATGCGGAGTAACAAACTCCTGCTCAAATCGTGGTCGAAAGTGTAATTGTTACAACGGTGACAGGGGTTGGAGAGAGGACAGCGGCTTACTGACAGACAAGTCTGCTCTTCCTGTGACTCAGATCAGACTGGCAGACTTCGATCATCCAAGTGAGGAAGGTTATCACATATTAGGCAAACTCAAATGTTATGGACAGGCTTGATGAACTTATTTTGCTACAAACAGTGCCCGTTGTCAGTCGGACCAGCACAAATTATTTCTCTAAAGAAAAGACATGCACGCTACATGAGAAAGCTAGTCTAATGATCATTCGTTTAACACACCTAAAAACCTTAAACACATTTCAATTGAAATTTTATCGACTTTTCGTTCTTAAACAGATGAATTTTTTAAAAATTTAAGATTTAAAGGAGAACTTAGAGTCTAGCGCATAGAGACCCCATTACTTAGATATTTACGTTTTGTGCCAAAGTTCTTTGCGCCCGATGCACTGTGGTGGTCGTGGTCGTGATTAAGAACCTATCAATATAGCATTGATCTCAGTCACTTCTTGTTTAATTAGTTTCATTTGATTTAACTTCGAATTCGTATTTGTATTGTTCAATCTTTAGAATGTGGTATATAAGCCTACAATTACCTCCCATGCAGTCCCTTCCATCTTACTCAAACGATGGACTTTCATTTATAACTTAATTTCCAAGTTCCGCTTCAGTTCACGCTCACAGTATCGATGAGGAGGTGTCATTGAGTTTTTTAATAAAAAATTTTAGGTTTTGTTTGTATTTGTCGTGATTTAAAGAACCTTTAATTATAGCATCGATCTCAATCACTTCTTGTTTAATTAGTTTTGGTTTAAACTTTCCCTTGATAATTAGTTTTGTTATTTCAGAGCCTCAAATAGTCCAGAAAGCGTTTCCTCCGCGGTTTTGAACGCGCTATCTTTGTCATGTAATACACTCCGCTGTCATATGGATCATAGCTGCTGTGAGTACAATCTGGAAGAATTTCGGAAGCGCTAAGTGGATAAACATAAAAACATAAACAGCTCAAAACTTGCTCTACGAATGGGCCAAGCTGCATACTCATTGTACAGCTGCACTCGCTGGAAAAGCAAGGCAATTAAAATTGTTAGATAGCGTTCAGTTTCCCCAGATTTAGAGTAATCATGTCCAAAATGTCCAAAAATGCACCCCCTCAGGAAACTGGAAATTAATTTGGCGATGATTACACAGTTTTCTGCATTTAGAGTTTTTTTATTACTGAAATTCAAGCAATTTCTTTCCATATATCTCAGGTTAATATTTCTTAGTCCCCTGATGTTAGTAGTTTTTTCACTTGGTTTTTGTTATATCTGTACATTTTGACCTAGCAGACTGAAGTAGTTTTTTTTTTTTTTTTTTTTTCCAAAACCCCCCCATCCTCCCATAAAACCGTTTCAGAATCAAAACCCTTTATCCCGTAAAAATTTTATGTTAATAACCGAAAAAGATTCAAAGTTTGGGATTTTTTTTTTTGGCTTTTCTTTGAAGTAAAGTATTTTATTTTATTTTGATTTGTTTTTTTTCTGCATTTAAATATTATTAATAACAAAAATTAAAGAAACTTCTTTCCATATAACTCAAGTAAATATTTATTATTTCCCTGATTTTATTATTTTTTTTATTTGGTTTTTGTTATATCTGTAAATTTTTACCTAGCAGACTTAAGTAGTTTTTTTTTTTTTTTTTTTACCAAACCACCACCATCCTCGCATAAACCAGTTGCAGAATCAAATCCCTTGATCACGTAAAAATGTATAGTTAATAACCGAGAAGGATTCAATGCTTGTGATTATTTTACTTGGCATTACTTTGAAGTACAGTATTTTATGTACATTTAGTTGGTTCCTTGTAAAGCTAATATTATTAATAATAAAAACAGCGCAGTTGACTGTGCGAGGTTCGTTGAATCGACCTCCACCGCGATTCAGCCTTCAAGAGCCGCCACGTGCACGATTCATTCCTTTATTACCTTACCTTTATCTATTAGAAATTGACCAGGCATTAATAGTTGCTGCGCTCCTCTCATGCCAAGCAACCACTTCTAACCTGCGCGACAGGCTTTGAAAGGGGAGGGGAGGGAAGGAAAAGGTAGAGGGGATTGGGGAGAGAGGAAACGGGACTTCCTCTCCCTTTCCCTTTCGCGCTTTTCTCCCCCTCCCCTCCCCTCCCCTCGCCTGTTTTGCGCCTGCCACGCAATTTAACCTCTTCCAGTGATGGGCTCCTGCCTCTTCTAAAAAACAGAAATGCCTGGAACCTTACCGGAAAAAAAAACAATAAGTTTGGAGAAATTTTTAAATTCCATCTTGAATATTTGTGAGACAAATTATCAGACGGCGCAAACACCTCGAGGTCTTCCCCTGAATAACAGCTCATTTATAATAACGAGCAGTGTCAGGAGCCCATCAAATTTGATGGGCTCCTGGCAGTGTTCCACAATGGCCTTGCTTCTGTATTTTTAATAGAGCCCGGGGAGGGGGGGGGGTTATGATAAATATCATCATCATCACCATCGGTCCAACCTTTAATATCTTTCCAGCGAAAGTAATTACAAATACGACATGAGGTCTTGAATGAAATAATATCCATTAATAATAAAGAGGCACCTTTTTACTATAAATGAAAACCATCATCAAAATTTTTCGATGTGGTGAATGGCTTTGGACAAATAACCCTGAAACTGATCAAGTTTACGTCCGTGACTGTTTAAATTGACCCTAGACATCTGAAATTGAAGTTAAGATTACTTGAAAATAGTTAAGCTGACAGATAAGTGAATTTTTAGTTGTTTGGAAAATAGCCAATGTTGTCAATGGAGACCAGAAATTAAATCCGAGACCCATAAAACATTTCCGCTGTCGTAGGCCACTGAGTGCGACAATAACCCCAGCTGCAAATGAACTAAATACATTGACGTTTAAGCACTCGGTTTCTTAACGTTCATCTGTTCATGGAGAAATCAAAGACACCTCAAGTCTCTTACCCCTCGCAATTTTCATCCACGATATTTTCAGTCACTCTCGCAATTTGTTTCGTGGTGCTGATTCACGTCGAGATCGAACTTCATGTTCATCGTCAAATGCTTCAAGTTTTAAATCAAGAGAGAGAAGACAGCATCGAGCTGCGAAAAGTAGTCGATCGTCATGAAAAAACCATCGATTCTGTGTTGAAGATGTTGCAGAGTGGATCACCTACAGGTAATTGCATTCTTATTAAACTATCCCTCGTCTTCAATTTTTCCCAATTTTTAACATCCATATGCAATTAAAAAAAGAATTAAGAGAATAATTAATTTAAAATAACTTTTAAAATAGAATCATTTAATCTAAGGAAAAAAGACAACCTTTTTTAAGAAAAAGGTAATTGCAATTTCAAGTTGGCTCACTCAGTTAAACGACAAACTGTTATGTTTGAAGCGTCTTTTACGCGAGGTCAACTCTCACTCAGTTCATACGTGCTGATCAAAGCTAGTAATCCTAAGTAATTTTTTTGGCCGCTTTGCCTCTTTTGGAAGAGCAGGGAAAAGGAAGTTAATGCTATTCAGCACTATTCCTTAAAGCTGAGGCGGTTGCATTTAATTTAGGAAGGATTTGATTAACACTTCCTCTTTATGACCTACGGGTGTGTGAGGCTCTCGAGCTTCACGCGCTTAAGACTCTTACGCCACGCTTTGCCGATTTCTTTACTGATTTTGAGAAAAAACCGACGACTGTTTTGCAGTCTAGCAAACGGCTGACCTTTGCACAAAAATGGAATGTTACATCTTAAGGAACCATTCTTTTAGACTACGTAACGTAGGAGATTGAAGGAAGGTTGAAATGGGGGGGAAGGGGGGGGGCGTACCAGCAAGCAGAACCTGAAGGAATACCAGCAGTTGACCTTTGCACTCCACAAAAATAGAAAATGTTACATCCTACGGAAACATTCTTTAAAACTTAACGTAACATAAGACGGTTTGAATAGGAGGTCGCGGGGGGGGGGTGGCGGGGGGCGGTGGGTGCTGTGGGCATGGCTTAGCTGCAGAACTTGAGAGAATAATCACAAACCTTTATGTCAGCCTTGGCCCGAGTCACCTCAATTATAAGTGAAGAAAGAGTTGAATTTGTGTTTGCTAATGAAGATTAAGGATCTGGAGGTCCGGGGCTCAAGCCTCGCCCGTCGCCTTGTTTCCTTAAACAAGGAACTTTACTCCACTTTGTTTCTCTTCACCTAGGTGTTTAAATGGGTACCGGCGACGTACTGCTGGAGGGTAAGCATGTGATCGACTAGCATGCCGTCCAGGTGGGGAAAGCAACTACCCCTAGGCATGCTTATAAGTTCCGGCCGTTTGGGCCTTTTGGGGGGGGGGGGGGGGGGGGGGGGGGGGGGGGGGGGGGGGGGGGGGGGCGGTGGGTGCTGTGGGCATGGCTTACCTGCAGAACTTGAGAGAATAATCACAAACCTTTATGTCAGCCTTGGCCCGAGTCACCTCAATTATAAGTGAAGAAAGAGTTGAATTTGTGTTTGCTAATGAAGATTAATGATCTGGAGGTCCGGGGCTCAAGCCTCGCCCGTCGCCTTGTTTCCTTAAACAAGGAACTTTACTCCACTTTGTTTCTCTTCACCTAGGTGTTTAAATGGGTACCGGCGACGTACCGCTGGAGGGTAAGCATGTGATCGACTAGCATGCCGTCCAGGTGGGGAAAGCAACTACCCCTAGGCATGCTTATAAGTTCCGGCCGTTTGGGCCTTTGGTTCGTGTGCGCCTTAACCTTTAATGAAGGCTCTTGCTCTCACTGAACTGATTTGCTGATTACATTACATTTCAGATGCACACATCCGTCAAAAACGCCAACTGCAAAACAAGGATTCAAACACCAGTGAAACCTTCACCAGGAAAGAAATTCAAATGGCCTGTACAAAATATTGTCCGAAAGGAATCAGAGGACGACGAGGCAGGCCTGGTCCGCCAGGCAAGCATGGTCCGCCCGGGCCTCAGGGAACACATGGGCCTAAGGGTTCTCAGGGAGATCAGGGGCCTCCTGGACCTAAAGGCGATAAGGGCCCTCAAGGACCCAAGGGCGATCCTGGTGAATCTGTCTCAGCTCCTTCTATTGTGTCACCTCTGGTATCTATGGTGGTAAATGAAACTGGTATAGCCTCATTTCAGTGCGATGTTAAGGGAAATCCAACACCTCAGGTCACGTGGCTGAAGCAGAATTCAAGTCTTCCCGACGACAAACGAATTGTTCAATCACGTGATGCATTAATGATTAAAGATGTTATGTCACAGGATGGTGGAATGTACACGTGTAAAGCAAGAAATATTCTTGGAATGATGACTTCATCCGCTAAGTTAACTGTCCAAGGTGAGGAATAGACATTTATTCTGAGGCCCTGGGAAATGGTTTTTGGGGAAAAAGGCTCAGTCACTCAGCAAAAATGTTGACCGCTCTTGTGAAAGGGGAGGGTTAATCGTCGACATTGAAATTAAACCACTAAAGCAGACCAACCTACTGTAGGCACGGATCCTGCTTGATTTGACCCCTAAAAGGATCCTAAAGTTACGTTTCATAACCAATGCTTTTAAAAATCGGCCAAATCAGAGACATAAGAACGTACTCAACGAAAGTACAAAATAAAAGTAATCTGCACGCTCACTTATCGTCTTCTTTGCTGCAATGAGGCCTTCATGACCTTTGAAAACCTGTTTTTCAAAATGAACTTAAACGGTTATCTTCAGGGGTTACCACCCAACACGTTACTGATGTCCAAAACAGATTGAAACAAAACCAAGCCAAACAGTCTTGTATCCATGGTTATTGTCCTGCTACCTTTCCTTAGCTTCCAGAGAAAACAATCACCGCATCAAATCTTTCTCCTTATCTTACATGTTAATGTGACGATACTTTGTTCAAACACATCGGGTTTAATTTGACAAATTATCTAAAAGAACAATTTATGATTTTAAGACACTTAATAATTCGACAACAATTTTAAATTTGGTCTATTTTCTTATCTACCATAGAAATACAAAGTTGTGACCATGTTTTGGTCATTTCTATGGTCGATGAGAATATAGACTAAGGAAAACTATTGTTCGTATGTTTCATACAATAACTTTTTCTCGACAACAATCTTTTTGGTCTATTCTGTTATCGACCATAGAAATGCAAAGTTGTGACCATTTTGTTGTTATTTCTGTGGTCGATGAGAATAGAGACTAAGGAAAACTGTTGTTCGTTTGTTTCATGCAAGAACTTGTACAGCCGGAAAATCGCGCGAGAGAGAAAGATCTAAAGTAAAACATTGCACCACCATTAGGTCATTTCCATGGTTTATCATCTCATTGACAATAGCTCGATCTCGACCAATCGGCGCCCGAGAAATCGCCAAGCAATTTCAAATAGGTGTAGTTTCAACATATAATGCTTACAAAGTCATTATGCGATTACACCATTGATCAGTTTTCATAATGAGTTTTAACTTATTATGAAAACTGATTAAAAGCACCCTTGTTACTCTTACATGTCTCTGATGTCAAAGCTGATTCTGTTTTACAGTCCGCGCCTTAATCACTCATAAACCATCATCGATCACAGTGGAAGAAGGACAAAATGTGAGCCTGCAATGTAAAGCTGTTGGGTTGCCTTTACCAAAAGTCACGTGGCGGAAAGCGTTCAGCAAGTTGCCGGTAAAGAGAAGCTCAATAGCCAATGGAAACCTGAGTATCCGCAGTATAACAAAAGCAGATAGTGGGACTTACGCATGCTCAGCAAAGAATCTCCTTGGAGATGACTCCGCTGTCGCCTTGGTGATGGTAATTAACAGGCTACAATTCATACTCATCCCTCTAAACAAAGTAAGCGCCTTAGAATGTAGCAAACTGATCTTGCATTGCGCAGCTAAGGGTTCGACAGAGATCATTTGGAAACGAGTGGGTAAGCAAATGCCTCAAAATCATGTTGTTTATTCAAACGGAACCTTGCTTCTGACAAACGTTTCTCCAAATGATGCTGGTTCGTATACATGCATAGCGAAAAACTCGCTGCGGTCTATTGAAGCATCATCTGTTGTCGAAGTGCCCAAACGAAAACCCACATCCTGTAGCGATTTAAGATCAAGCTGCAGAGAAAAAACTTCAGGTAATTATATTATTGACCCTGATGGCAAAGGAGGCGTGGCTTCGTTCAGCGTGTATTGTGATATGAGTGACAAGGGCGGAGTTGGCGTGACAGTCATAAGTCACAACAGCGAGAGTAGAACTCATGTTGGTAACATTCCTGGATGTGGAAGTGCAGGTTGTTACAGGAAAGATGTGACTTACACTGGAGTTAGCACTGCTCAGTTGGCAGCACTCACTCGAGTCTCGCAGAACTGTGAACAGTTTATCAAGTTTGAATGCAATAATGACATAGTTTTCATTGAGAATTCATATGCCTGGTGGGTGTCACGTGACGGAACACGCATGAACTACTGGGGTGGAGCTACAGGATATGACAACATGTGCGCATGTGGAGTAACAAACTCCTGCTCTAATGGTAACAAGTGTAACTGTTACAACAGTGGCAGCGGTTGGAGAGAGGACAGCGGTCTTCTGACTGACAAGTCCGCTTTACCAGTGACTCAGATCAGACTGGGAGACTTGGATGATTTAAGTGAGGAAGGTTATCACACATTAGGCAAACTCAAATGTTATGGACAAGCATGAACTTACTTTGCTACAAACACGGCCCGTTTGTCGAAAGGAATAAGCTTCAGACCGGTACTTACTTTGGCGCAAATTATTTCTGTAAAGATAAGACATGCATGCTACATGAGAAGGTTGTCCGATGATCGACTAAAACACACGAAAACCTTGATGGCATTTTGAATAAAATTTCATCAAACTTTCTTAAACAGAAATTTTTTTAAAGTCAGTACTTAAACGGGGGACTTTTTTGAACATCGGTTAGAGAGAATAAGAATAATTTTAATTACTTTCAAGAACTGCAATAAACTAGTGCATCGAGTCTTAAATCAAGTCTGAAATATTTAAGGTTTTGTTCCAAAGTTCTTTGCATCATGCACTGTGGGGTCGGAAACCTATAATTATAATAATTATGGATATCAATAACTTCTTGTTTAATCATAGCAATCTTGATTTAAACTTCGTATTTGTATTGTTTGATCTTATAGAATAAGGTTAATAAGCCCACAATTATCTAAAATGAAGTCTTTTCCCTCTTACTCAAACGATGCACTTTCAGGTGTTACAGGACTAAATGCGTCATTTTTTGGATATAGACAAAAACGTTTTAGGTTCTAGAAACTGTCAAATTACTCAAACATACGAACTGATACGATAAACATCCTTTAATTAACGAGTTTGTATTTTTTTGGGAGATGGACTGCCGACATTTTTATATAGCAACAGTTTATCTTTCTGAAACCATCTAAATCAGCAGTTTATGGCTCGGACATGGCAATCTTGTCCCCCTCCTTGACACTGGTTTTCTTTTATTAATATCTACTGGCCTTTATTGTAATAGCATGTTAATGAAAAACACCTATCTAATCAGATAAGTTAAAGTGATGGAGTCTAAAAGTAGAGGAAATCTGTAATTAAACAGACAGAAGAAAGACAAAGGGAGAAGGAAAAAAAAAGATGCAAGAGAAAAGGCAGAGAAAGTGGAGAAAGAAAAAAGAAGGAACAGAGAAAATAAAGGCAGAAAGCTAGTAAGAACTGTGGAGGAAACGGAAAAAGGATTTACAGTTAAAACGCAGTTAATGAAAAATTGTCGAAATTGTAAATGTCTTTTTTAAATAAATCGTCTTGCCCTTCTGAATATCGTCTCAATCACTTCACACTGTCGAAGCACGCACACGTAGTTGCCAAACTTCTTTCACACTGCTTTAGAAAATCACACATTACTTATCTATATATCACAGGTCCCACTATAGTTCACGGTCACAGTAAATGGACGAGGGGGCCTATTGAATCTTTATTAGGCTAGATCCTTTGGTAATTGTTTTAGCTATTTCAGGCACTGAATTTTCCACTAGGATTTCTTCAAATGGTGGATGAATTGCTGACTGGAATTTTGAATACATTAATATCTGGACAAATTGTCAATTCATTTGGTCAGGGCAAGTGTACATTTGACTGTCAGTCTGGGAATTTAAAAAACTATGCCTCTAACAATCATGTCTCAACAAGCTCATTCATGATGAGAATTGAAATACTGATCACTTTCAACGTTACTTGTATGTGGACATTTCATACAAATTCACTCTTGCATGAGTATTTGTTTCTCATGCATGTACACAAATAACTATAAACACTTTCATAAATGATTTGGTATTTTTTACAGTGATAATTCAGTGATAATAAGGGTACGCATATTCAGTAATCATGAGTCACGATCACTTTCATAGTTCTCCTCAACTGCATCAATGACATAGCCTGGAACGAGGATCCGCAGTAGGGGAAGAAGGAAAAAACGGGGCCAAATAGGAAAAATATCACATTGCTAAATGTAATTTCTATTTTAGTGTAAGTGATTATGTCTACACCTCACTGTTACAAAAAAATTAGTTGTCAAGTGTGATTATGTACTGCAACAAGAGCAAACACTCTCTTGCTGTAATTTACCTAAAAATAAATATTTTTTCTCCAATTACCAGCATTTACTTGTTATTTATCTGCTACCATTTCATCCACTCACTACTAATGACACACTTCACAAGTAATTATTATTACACATTAAAGATAGCAGGTGTTAGCTGCATATTCGCCTGCAGTTATTAACTATCTCACCCTTTTTCTTTTACTATAATTAAACATGCAGGAGGGTCAAATGGGGTAAACACGGAACCTATGAAACATTGGCTACCCTTCCTTAACAACACCAACCCCATTTAAATCCCAGAAAATTCTTTTTCTTAAAAGAGCACTGGGTTGAAATTTACTCCAACCAAAAGGCGATTAACGACATCTCACATTCTAATATTAGAACCAGTGTGGAAACTCGCCCTCCCAAGCTACACAATTTACTCCAATTCTCTCCCCCTTCCATCCCTGACATTTTATGGGCCTTACCCCTCCCCCCCCCGAGCTTCGCTAGTTCTTCGATACACGTATTTCTAGTTCAGTAACTTAATACTGTGAATGGCTTGAACCCTGATCAAGCTTAGTTCCCACTCTGCGAATGACGTCCGCCACTGTCTTATTGACCCCAGACACCTGACATTGAGGTAAGGATTACATGAAAATAGCTAAGATGACAGCTAAGCGAATTTTTGGTTGTTTGGAAAATAGCCACTGTTGTCAATGGAGACCAGGTCAAACAGAGGAAATTAAATCCGAGATCCATAAAACATTTCCGCTGTCGTAATTGATCCACTGAATGCGACAATAACCCCAATTGCAATTGAACTAAAATTCATCAACGTTTTAGAACTCGTTTTCTATCTGATCAATTGTTCATGGAGAAATCAAAGACACCTCAAGTCTTTCACCCCTCGCAATTTTCATCCACGATATTTTCAGTTACATTCGCAATTTGTTTCGTAGCGCTGATTCACGTCGAGATCGAACTTCATGTTCATCGTCAAATGCTTCAAGTTTTAAATCAAGAGAGAGAAGACAGCATCGAGCTGCGAAAAGTAGTCGATGGTCATGAAAAAACCATCGATTCTGTGTTGAAGATGTTGCAGAGCGGATCACCTTCAGGTAATTGCATTCTTATTAAACTATCCATCCTCTTCAATTTTTCTCAATTTTTAACATCCATATGCAGTTTAAAAAAGAATCAAAAGACTAATTAATTTAAAATAGAATTGAATCATTTAAGCTAAGAGAGAAAAACAACCTTTTTTTTAAGAAAAATGTGATTGCAATTTTTGGCTCACTAAGGGAAATGACAAACTGAAGTGCCTCTTACGCGAGGTCAACTCTGACTCAGTTCATACGTGCTGATCAAAGCGGCAGTACTCCTAAATAATTTTTTTGCTCGCTTTGCGCGCTCTTTTGAAAGAGAAGGGAAAAGGAAGTTACTGTCATTCAGCACTATTCCTGTAAAGCTGAGGCGGTTGCATTTAGGAAGGATTTGATTAACACTTCCTGTTTATCTGAAACTCTGTCAGACTGATTAAATTCTTCTAAGGCCTACATGGCACGAAACAAAACAAGGAACACCAGCAGCTGATCCTTCCACAAAAATAGAATGTTTCATCCTAAGGAACCATTCTGTAAGACTATGTAACGCAGGAGAATGAAAGAGGCTTGAATGTGAGGGGGGAGGGGGAGGTGGGAGGGCGGCGCTGGGGCCTGCCTTACGAGCAGAACTTGAGAGAGTAATCACAAACTTTTATGTCAGCCGTGGTCCGAGTCACCTCAATTATAAGTGAAGTATTAAAGAGTTGAATTTGTGTTTGCTAATAAAGATTAAGGATCTGGAGGTCCGGTGTTCAAGTCGCGTTGTTTCCTTAGACAAGGCACTTTGCTCCACTTTCTCTCTCTTCACCCAGGTGTACAAACGGGTACCGGCAACGCAGTTCCCCGGGAGACGTACTCCCCATAATGGCCTATACGGGGAGGCTCCGCCCAAAAGGGGTACCTTTAATTTATCAGGCCTCAGGTATACGAATTTGAAGTACACGAAAGGGTAGCGGGAAATCTGCCATTTAGGTCTGTGAAAGGGCCTAAAAGGGCTAACAGATGAATTTTATGGCTTTATAAACTTGAGAAAACGTACTATTTCTGTGATTGATTCCCATTTAAAAGACCGTGCATCTACTGCAGCTAAAAGAGATGCAAAGATCTAAAAAAGGTATGTGAAAGGGGTATCCTTTCTCAATAGAAGGTATACAAAACGGATACCTTTTCCTGTCAAAAATGGTATATTTAAAGGATAAGGGGTTGGACCTCGGGTCGGAGCCTCCCGGTATAAAAATTTGTTAAGTACCTCCCCCCCCTCACCCCCGGGCACAGTTGTCCCTTCCGTAAACGGTCGCTGCCATTTTTAAGACTCTTAAGGTTGATTCGAAAGGGTCGCGTAATTTTGACATGGGTACGTGCGTAAAATTTACGTTCGCAAATAAAATAGAGGCAATGCATGAAAAGTCGAACCGCGCTCAACTTCCCGTTCAAGCTAAGCACTTTTTTATCTTGCCTCTATTTTATTTAAGCGATTAATATTTACGTGCGTTAACGTGCGAAACCAAAAACGCGTCAGTGGAAATCAACCCCTAGAGATTTGTGACCTGTTATTGAAAGCTTTTCTGTCAATAAGAAAGAAAAACGCAAACCAGGGCCGAACCTGGACCTCGAACACGCACCTTTCGTATCCTAATCTCTCTCCCTTACCACTACATTACCACACCCCGCCCGCCAATCCGAAAAAAAATCAAGTACATACACTAGCAAACGGTTTTTCTTAACTGTTACATCAATAACAGGTGACCCTATCCCTTTCCATAATTTTTATCGTAAATTCAACTTGGGCTTCAACTTCGTTCTTTCTAAGGCTATTCAAAAACGTATTATTTGCCTTATTGTAACTTAATCAGGGGAATATATTACATCCATCATGACTAAAGGCTTGGTTACCAATTTACGAAAGAGAAATAGGCACTGGCGACATGCTGCTCACATGGGGGTAACCCTGCGATGGACTACCAATACTCCTAGGCATGCTTCATGCTATAGAAACCGGGATAAACTCCGGCCGTTTGGGCCTTTGGCTCGTGTGAGCCTTTACTTTTCCTTTTTTGAAGATTAAGGCCCTTGCTCCCAAAGAACTGATTTGCTGATTACATTGCATTTCAGATGCACACATCCGTCGAAAACGCCATGTGCAAAACAAGGATTCAAACGCCAGTGAAACCTTCACAAGAAAAGAAATTCAAATGGCCTGTACAATTCATTGTCCAAAAGGAATCAGGGGACGCCGAGGCAGGCCCGGTCCTCCAGGCAAGCATGGTCCGCCTGGGCCCCAGGGACCACAGGGGCCTAAAGGTTCTCAGGGAGATCAGGGGCCCCCTGGGCCTAGGGGCGATCAGGGCCCTCAAGGACCCAAGGGTGATCCTGGTGAATCCATCTCAGCTCCTTCTATTGTGACATCCCCAGTTTCCATGGTAGTAAACGAAACTGATGTAGCTTCACTGCAGTGTGAGGTTAAAGGAAATCCTGTTCCTCAAATTACATGGCTTAAAGAAAATACCAGTCTTCCAGCCGACAAACGAATTGTACAGTCTCGTGGAGGTATAATGATTAAGGATGTGACGTCACAAGATGGTGGAGTGTACACGTGCGTAGCAAGCAACATTCTTGGATTAATAAAAAAATCGGCCACGTTAACTGTCCAAGGTAACATGCTCGTCCTTTGTTAGTTATTGGAAATTTCATGGATTAAAAGCTATTAATAAGAAATCAACTTCTATTAAATCATATACTTTCACCTTAAAATTAGGCGCATTACTAGTCAACGATGTCTGTTAAATTTCCCATGAACAATTATTAGTATCCCACTGTCCATAGCCTACTAATGATGATGAGTCTCGTCAAAAAAACCTGTTTTTAGCGAATAGAGCGGCAACTGGGCTATAAATACAATTTCGACTATAGTGTCCTATATACCTAATTATATAAGGGGATTCTATGCAAGACGATTTGTAACGATGATTTTTAAGGCAACAATGTTGGAACAATTCGAAGAAATTTCCCCGCAATTTCATACCGCGCGGGGGCCTGGCACTACCGGATGTTCCCAGAGTTTTCAAAAAGTCCAGTTTCAAAATGGCGGATAGTCGGAGTAAAAACTCGAACGAAAGCATTCTTTTTCCAAGACATATTTAACAATTATTCTTTGAAATCGAGGTGAATAGTGGCCAAATATTTACCGAGCCGCGAAAGCGGCGAGGTCAATATTCCCACAGCCACTATTCACCGAGATTGAAAAAAATTAATTGTTTTAGTGATCTCAACAAAATCAGAGAGGAAACCATTAAAAAGTACAATTTGATCGACAGATCAAATCGCGCGTAAGTTTAAAAATAGATCTTTGCAGAATTTTCAAACATGGCAATTCACAAGTTTATCATTTCGCAAACAACAGCGTAATGGCTTAAATGGAACCGCTAAAAGTTTGAACTGTTCCTTTACCTGAGAAGAAAAGTAGAGCTTTGTTGTTTTCTGTTGACTCGCCAAGTTTACAGCCAAAAGGGTTTGTTGTGTCGTTCTTCGCACGAAGTGCTGACAAAAAGGTGGCTCGCTTGCTCGAGGTAAGACGTCGTCTTCCTGTATCATTCTTTTACCTGTTTACTTGAAACGTAGAATTTCTGCAAACATTTCCTTTTAATTTTTTTTTCGTCATAAATAAACTTCGATTTTGAGCCAAAATTTTCTTGTTAGAAAACGCTGAGTTCACGAAACGGCTTCTTCTACGCGAATACACGGGAGCTGTAAACAATCCATCGAGCACAAAACTTAGCTGCAGTAAATTGAAAAACGCCGTATTGAATCCTTCCAAGTCTTTTCTTGCCTTAAAAAAGTCAGCCCTAGGATTTTGTCGACTTTTAAAAGATCGTTCTCTAAAAAAATGGGAAAAACACCGAGCTCACACATTATCCACTCGCCAGGAGGTGAATATTGTTGAATAGTCGAAGATAGCGAACCAATCAGATTGCTTAAATCACCAAGATCACTGAGTGTGTATATACTAATGATCAATATTCCCTCGGAGAATCTGTCTAAACTTAGTAAGGAAAGGATGCAGTATTTCCGCCATGCCCTGAAGTTAAACTTAAGGACACTCAGTAAGTGCAAGCAATTGTTCGATGAACAGGTCGCCCGAACTAAACATGATTATAAATTTTCTACTATGAAAAGTAGGAGGATCATTGCAGGAAAGAACACAGATGTGATTGTGCACGTATCGATCTTAGCCTAAGTATGCTGGACCAAACTTAAAAGGGCAGTACGGAAGGGCTTACCTGGATTATTCCCGTCGCGGAAAAGAGTAATGTCCGTGAAAGGTAATGAGTGTAGTGAACTTTGTGGCGTTATGTATGTTAAACCTAGTGTTGTTCACGTGAAGGGAGATAAGGGACTAGTCTATACTCAGTGCATGCTAGCCAAAAGGTAGATGTACGTGACATTCTTCATCGTGATTACAAGCTGATTGCCCAAATTACAGGAACTGCAGTGTTACCGGACGAGAACTGCCTCTCAAGTAAGACTGAAGTATACTTGCTTTTATCCATGTTCAGTGAGAATTGTTTCCGGTCTGATCTTTAGGATTTCTACTGAGACCGAACGCAGCGACGGGGAGAAAATCTAATGTAAGCCTTGCCAACCTAATATACAATGTTGCCCTTTCACTCAGGGTCACTCTGGCGTGTTTCGCTTTTTGGTAGTTTTTATTTTACGGTTTAGAAAAAACAGGTACACCCACTCCCTTATCATTACCCAATATTCCGTCGGATCCAGTGCCGTAAAAAGAGCTAAACTCGACGCTTCTTTGTTCAAATTTTTTGTCGAACAATTCGGGAATCCTTCCAATACTTCCAAGTAGCGAAAGTCTCCGATTCTTTCTCGCAGTAAAACAACTGTTCTTAGCTTTAGAATATTAACTTTCTGGAGTAATCTGGCGCTTAATATCGTTTCAACTATACGCAATGACCTTTGCTTTACCTTCTATTTTGGAAGCCATTTTCAATCCGGAATTTAAAAAAGTGCGGGAAAATCCGGTAGTGCCAGGCTCCTGTGCGGCATGAAATTAGGCAATGCTGTATTGCACTGTAAATTGTCGTTGTGAATTCGTCCCCTGTAACATTGCTCAGGAGAAAATAATGCGACCGAAACTGTTATCGGTAGATTCTAGGTTCGGCTCTAATCAAGGAACTCGGAGACGTTTTCCCAGAACCCTCTGTTTTAATTTTCTTGTAACTTGTTTTTATTTTCTTGGCTTATTATATTTCTTCATTACTTTACAGTTGCTGCCTTAATCTATCAAAAACCCTCGTCTATTGTCGCTGAAGTAGGGGAAAACGTAAGGTTGCCGTGCAAAGCTACAGGTCTTCCAATACCAACGATCACGTGGCGGAGAGCGTTAGGTTCCTTACCAAGAGGGAAGACTGCAGTGGATGATGGGAAAATGACAATTCGTAACATAGCTAAAGCTGATAGCGGGGATTACGCATGCTCGGCGAAGAATTTTCTTGGACAGGACTTTGTTGTTGCTCAGTTAATAGTGATTGACAGGCTCACATTTACCCTTACTCCTCCCCGGAAAGTCACCGTATCACAGTCACGCAACTTGTTGCTAAACTGTGCAGCTCAAGGTAACACTGAGATCACGTGGAAAAGAACTGGAAAAAGCTTACCTCACGGCCACGTGATTTATTCAAATGGAACTTTGCTCCTCAGGAACGTGGTTATAAACGATGCCGGAACATATTCTTGCGTGGCCAAAAACGCACTTCGTTCTGTTGAGGCAACTTCTGTTGTTGAAGTGATTAAAACAATGAAGTCCTGTAGCAGTATTAAGTCAGACTACAGTGGAAGCTCTTCAGGTAATTATATTATTGACCCTGATGGCAAAGGAGGCGTGGCTCCGTTCAGTGTGTATTGTGACATGAGTGACAAGGGAGGAGTTGGCGTGACAGTCATAAGTCACGACAGCGAGAGTAGAACTCATGTGAATAGCGTCAGTCCTGGATGTGGTAGTGCAGGTTGTTACAGGAAAGATGTGACTTACACTGGAGTTAGCACCGCTCAGTTGGCAGCACTCACTCAAGTCTCAAAGAACTGTGAGCAGTTTATCAAGTTCGAATGCAATAATGATGTTCAATTTATACAGCAGAATGGTGCCTGGTGGGTGTCCCGTGACGGAACACGTATGAACTACTGGGGTGGAGTTACAGGCTACAAAAACATGTGCGCATGCGGAGTAACAAACTCCTGCTCTAATGGTAACAAGTGTAACTGTTACAATAGTGCCGGTGGTTGGAGAGAGGACAGCGGTCTTTCTGACTGACAAGTCCGCTTTACCAGTGACTCAGATCAGACTGGGAGACTTAGATGATTCACATGAGGAAGGTTATCACACTTTAGGAAAACTCAAATGTTATGGACAAGCATGATGAACTTAGTTTGCTGCAAACACGGCCCGTTTGTCGAAAGGAATAAGCTTCGGATCAGTAGTTACTTTTGCGCAAATTATTTCTGTAAAGATAAGACATGCATGCTAGGAGGAGGGAAAACAATAAAAATGAGGAGGAGGAGGAGGAGGAGGGAAAACAATACAAATGAGGAGGAGGAGGAGGAGGAGGAAGAGGAGGAGGAGGAGGAGGAGGGAGGAGTGAGGCGCCGGCAGACGATGGATATTATCGCGATGAAGAGCGGCGAGGGCGGTCGCTCGCCGTCAGGCTCGGCGTGTGTTTTAGGCAGAGGAGGGAGAGTTTGAAAAGAGGCAGCGATCGATCAGCTGCCTCTTCGCATAAAAACAATCAAAGAGGCACAACAGCGACGACGACGACGACGACTA